TCCCCTTTAAGTTCACTGCCTTGTTAATTAGATGAGCTTGCTGAGACGGCAGCTGCTGCAAGCTCCCTCCGTCTTGAGCCCTGGTGTATCCCCCCTGCTCTATGGAAGATGGTGTAAGTGGGGTGCAGGAGCAGGAGGGAGGGAGACACCCTGACATTAGCCCCCCTCTTCCTTCCCTCCCCCCTGCACAGCAAGCAGGAGTCTCGGGGAGCAGCTCCAAGGCAGAGGGCAGGAGCAGCATATGGCAGTGGGGGGAGGGACCTAGTTGAACTGCAGGCAGCTGCTGCACAAAGAACTTTAGGGGAGCGGGGAGGAGATAGGGGGCTGCCGGTCCACCCTGGTTCCAAGCCCCCACCAGCTAGCTGCAAGGGGCTGCTCTTCCTGCAAGCCGTAGACAAAGCAGGCGGCTGCCAAAGACGTTAGAAGGGAGCTTTGCACAACTTTAAACGAGCATGTTCCCTAATTGATCAGCAACATAACAACGAAACAACGTTAACCGGGATGACTTTAAGTGAGGAGTTACTGTACTCACATTGGAACCACTGCACTTCACTCCCGTGCAGGGCACCAGGCATTACTGGTGGCTTTCAGCCTCAAATTGCTCCCTTAAGGCATCCCTAATCCTTGCAGCCTTGTGCTGGGCTCCTCTAATAGCCCTGCTCTCTGGCCGTTCAAATTCAGCCTCCAGGTGTTGAACCTCTGAGGTCCATGCCTGAGTGAATCTTTCACCCTTCCCTTCACAAATGTTATGGAGGGTACAGCACGCAGATATAACCATGGGGATGCTGTTATCAGCCAGGTCCAGCTTCCCATGCAGAGAGTGCCAGCGACCCTTTAAATGGCTAAAAAATACTCCACAGTCATTCTGCACTGGCTCAGCCTGTTGTTGAACTGCTCCTTACTGCTTTCAAGGCTCCCTGTGTAGGGTTTCATGTGCCATGGCATTAAAGGGTAGGCAGGGTCTCCAAGGATTATAATGGGCATTTCAACTTTCCCTACGGTGATCTTCTGGTCTGGGAAAAAAGTCCCAACCTGCAGCTTCCTGAACAGGCCAGTGTTGCGAAAGATGTGTGCATCATGCTCCTTTCCAGGCCAGCCTGCGTTAATGTCAATGAAATGCCCATGGTGATCCACAAGCGCCTGGAGAACCATAGAGAAGTAGCCCTTCTGATTAATGTACTCAGAGGCTAGGTGGGCTGGTGCTAAAATTGGAATATGCATCCTGTGATGTTGTGCAGTCTATATGGTTTTATAAAAACATGATAATAAGTGAATATAATGCAACTGGGATAGTTTTAGAAAAAATATGGTAATAAGTGAATATAACGTAACTGGGATATGCTTCATGCAAAAGGTCTCTTGTAAGGTACCATTACAAAGCTTATAATCTACTGAGTGTGATCATCCTATTTGTAGAAATGTACCACTCTTGTATCTAAAACAAGAAATATAAAACATAACTCTGAGGGCCTATTGTAATTATGTAAAGTGTGGGCCATTAAGGATGGTTCGGAATCTTGATGACTCCCATTGTCTGCAGATGGCTGTATTTACCTGTGAGCCTTCCTGTATATGTGTGTGCTGGCAAGTGAGCAATGAAGTCTTGCAGTGACATGTGATCATGTCACCTGAACTGGAATCCATCTTTAACCTGGTGCTTTTCCAGTGAGGGGGTTGGAAACCCAGAGGGACAAAGGGTTCCCGCCTTATGCAAAAGATATATAAAGGGGTGGAAGAGAACAAAGGGAGAGAGGAGCCATCATGAAGAATCCCCTAGCTACCACCTGAGCTGCAACAAGAGCTGTACCAGGGGAAAGAATTGTGTCCAGTCTGAGAAAAACTTACTGAAGCATCTCTGAGGGTGAGATTATCTGTATTTAGTTTGATTAGACATAGATTTGCGCATTTTATTTTATTTTGCTTGGTGACTTACTTTGTTCTGTCTGTTACTACTTTGAACCACTTAAATCCTACTGTCTGTATTCAATAAAATCACTTTTTATTTAGTAATTTACTCAGAGTATGTATTAATACCTGAGGGAGCAAACAACTGTGCATATCTCTCTATCAGTGTTATAGAGGGCGAACAATTTATGAGTTTGCCCTGCATAAGCTTTATGCAGGGTAAAACGAATTTATCTGGGTTTAGACCCCACTGGGAGTTGGGCATCTGAGTGCTAAAGACAAGCAAACTTCTGTGAACTGTTTTCAGGTAAACTTGCAGCTTTGGGGCAAGTGATTCAGACCCTGGGTCTGTGTTGGGGCAGACGGGAGTGTCTGGCTCAGCAAGACAGGGTGCTGGAGTCCTGAGCTGGCAGGGAAAACAGGAGCAGAGGTAGTCTTTGCACATCGGGTGGCAGCTCCCAGGGGGGTTTCTGTGATCCAACCCGTCACACATCCCATCTATTGCTCCTCTGCAGTTAGGGAAACCCATTTGTGCAAAGCCAGCCACAATGTCATGCACTTTACCCAGAGTCATGGTTCTTCTGAGCAGGATGCGATTAATGGCCCTGCAAACTTGGATCAACACGATTCCAACAGTCGAATTCCCCACTCCAAACTGGTTAGCGACCGATCGGTAGCTGTCTGGCGTTGCCAGCTTCCAGATTGCAATAGCCACCCGCTTCTCCACCGTTAAGGCAGCTCTCAATCTTGTGTCCTTGCACCGCAGGGTGGGAGCGAGCTCATCACACAGTCCCATGAAAGTGGCTTATCTCATGCGAAAGTTCTGCAGCCACTTCCCGTGATCCCAGACTTGCATGACGATGTGATCCCACCACTCAGTGCTTGTTTCCCGAGCCTAAAAGCATCATTCCACGGTGGTGAGCATGTCCTTGAATGCCACAAACAATCTCGTGTCGTATGCGTTACTCAAGTCAATATCATCATCTGAGTTCTCACTGTCACTTTGGAGCTTAAGGAATAACCCGACTGCCAAACGTGATGTGCTGGTGAGACTCGTCAGCATATTCCTCAGAAGTTCGGGCTCCATTCCTGCAGACCGAAAGGGAAGACAGAGTGCACAAAAAACGTTGAAAGATGGCGCCAATTGTGGACGGAAGCAGCGGGATTGCTGGGTTGCAAACCAATGTATCACAGGACGTTGGGACAGGACCCAGAATACCCTGCACCCCACACACCCTTCCCACAGCCACAGTGCCAGAATGGGAAGAAGTGCTCTGTGGAATAGCTGCCCACAACACACTGCTCCCAATGTCGCTGCAAGTGCCGCAAATGTGGCCACGCCAGTGCACTTGCAGCTGTCAGTGTGGACAGATTGCAGCGCTTTCCCTACTGCGCACTACGAAGGCTGGTTTAACGCAAAGCGCTCTACATTTGCAAGTGTAGCCATGCCTGAAAGCTATTAGGTTGGTCTGACACAATTTGTTCTTGAGAAATCCATGCTGACTGTTACTTATCACCTTATTATCTGCTAGGTGTTTGCAAATTGATTGCTAAATCATTTGCTTCATTATCTTTCCAGGTACTGAAGTTAAGCTGACTGATCTGTAATTCTCCAGGTTGTCCTTATTTCCATTTTTATAGATTGGCACTATATTTGCTCTTTTCCAGTCCTCTGGAATCTCTCCAATCGTCCATGACTTTTTAAAGATAATTGCTAATGGTTCGGATATCTCCTCCGTCAGCTCCTTGAGTATTCTAGGATGTATTTCATCAGGTCCTGGTGACTTGAAGACATCTAACTTGTTTTTAACTTGTTTTTTTCCCTATTTTAGCCTCTGATCCTACCTCGTTTTCATGGGCATTCACTGTGTTAGACGTACAATTGTGTCTCTAGCTATCTTAATATAATTTTGTGCCTTGACCTTTCTAATTTTGTCCCTACAAACTTGTGTTATTTGTTTATATTCATCCTTTGTCATTTGACCTAGTTTTGACTTTTTGTAGGACTTCTTTTTTTTTTTTTTTGTAGTTTCAGACCATTGAAGATCTCCTAGTTAAGCCAGGATGAAGATGAGTGATACCAGTGGATTCCTCCCATTAGCTGAGTTTGCAGCTGACAGCACATGGCAGGAGGGAGGTAAAAGCCCCAAATCCGAGGAACTAAGGATCTCTATGCTGCTTGGACTTTGGGGGCGGGGAGGGGGATGGTATAAGCAAGAGATCCCCAGCTGCTAATACAGGCTTCTATAATCACAAAGCTATATTACCTTTTGAAACCTAAGACTAACTCATTCATGTCTGTTTGCTTGCTTTAACCTTGTAAATAACTCTCTAATTTCCTTTTTCTGTTTAATATATCTTCAAGTAGTTTAGTAAAGGCTTGGCTTTGGTGTGAGACTTAAAGCGCAATTGACCTGGAGTAAGTGACTGATCCTTTGGGCAGGGCCGGCTCCAGGCACCAGCGCAGCAAGCAGGTGCTTGGGGCGGCCAATGGAGAGGGGTGGCATGTCCGGCTCTTCGGTGGCGGGTCCCTCAGTCCCTCTCGGAGGGAAGGACCTGCTGGTGAATTGCCACCGAAGAATGAAGCGGCGGCGATAGAGCTGCTGCCGAAGTGCCGCTGATCGTGGCTTTTTTTTTTTTGCACTGCTTGGGGCGGCAAAAACACTGGAGCCGGCCCTGCCTTTGGGATTAGGAGTAACCTGAATATTGCTGTGATTCTTGGTGTAAGTGGCCATCTGTCACAGAGATATGCTCATCTGGGTGGCAAGACAGACTGGAATACCCAAGGGGACTGTCTGTGACTCTGTGTTGAAGCTGTTAAAGTGCCTGAGGAGTTTGCACTTAGTGCAGTTCATTGATGAAATCCAAGTTTAGAACTCACTACCTCTTAAGGGTTTGTGCCCTGGTTTTTAAACAAGGTTAATGCAAGTAAACCTATATACACATGGGGATCTTTTGCCTATGCTTAGCAATCTTTGTCCCTCAGAGTCCAGGCAGCATAAAGATACAGTTTCTTCTCATTAGGGCTTTTTATTCCTTTTCACCCCCTTCTGCTTCAAGTTGCGAGTTCAGTTGTTGGGAGGAATTCAATTGCATGTCTCCTCTTCCATGGCATGGGGAGGGGTCTCTTGTCTTCTCATGTTTATGGTCCTTCTTTTGTTGGGCAGGAGATAACCTCCTGAGGCAAACTAGTGGTTTACACTTGCTAATGCTTTTCTCCTGTCTAGTGACTTACAGTTACAGAGCAAACACGTAAATATTACCGTTAACATGGATGACAGTTCATTATAAGTGCAGTTAAGGCATGCAGCAATTTACAAGCAGTCCATAAAGTCTAAACACTAAGCACATTTTTATAACTCTAATACCTCTTTTAACAATACTAACACACCGGTGATCTGACTGGTTCCAGCTGAGAAATAGGGCTCTTGGCATGAGCTGGTACCTGGTCTGCTAGCGTCATAGTATCTTTGGTACATGTTTACCATATCATCCTTTCCATGGCACCTGGAAAACATTCTGCTTACACAGAGCTGAATTTACACCAGGGTGTAACTCCATTAAAGTCTGTGTAACTGTACTTGTTTAAATCATACATGCTTTGGGCCAGATCTTCACTCCTGCTAAACCTCCTTGTGGTAGCTTCTCCTTTTTTTCATGGAGCATACTTTGGGCTAATTGTCATAACTGAGAGTTCACCATTGGCATAAGTGAGAGTAACCCCACCAAAGTCAATGACATTACATCCACTTATGCAGACTGCAATTTTGAGCCTAATTCTGTCTAATTCTGAAGACAAGATGATTTTCTGGTCTCTAAGGAGGAGCATATTTCCTCATGCCTTTTTTCTGGTTGTAAACTTCCCCCAGAACTGAATTTTGTCTCAAGCCAGATTAACTAAGGAAGGAAGATCTGTATCGATATAGATAGGGAAATTTCCATGAGGCAGTGTATAGTCACCAGAGTTCCAGTTGGGCCAGGATATTGGAACTAATTTACCCACTACTGCAAAAAAAATCATAGCTTTTTTAACAATCAAGACCTTTATGTAGGGCATCTAAATGACAGAACTGCCCAACCCCCTCACACACACACCCCACGACCACCCCTGCTACCATTCTGGGGCACTGATTTAATGTTAAGTCAGAGGAATAGGTGCCACAATGAGAAAACAGTTACAGAGGAAGTGCTTGTACTAGAATATTATTCAGAACGCTTTGCTGACAGGAATAGCTCTGTTTTTGCCATACGAATATATGACTGCAATTCATTACAATGGGAATTTTTTATTTGTATGGTGAGGACAAGAGACTATGCACTTTTTAAAAAAAAATACTCAGAGATTTGCATAGAAAGAGCTTGTACACTTGAGCGGCAATAAAAGTTCAAGTGTTATGTGCTTTTAGAGTTTGTGATTTGTTTCCATTTGTGCATAATGATAACTTGAATCAGACTTTAGTCTCTATAAAAGGCATAATAGATTACTAGCTTCCCTTTATAGCTCTTTTTCTTTTGCTAGAAAAATAAGAGTGACTCATGGAAACCGTCTGACAATGAGACATGCAGAGCTGGAAAAAAGAAAAGACTGAGTTTACGCTCTTGAATAGTGCTGAGCAAAAAAATCACAATGAATTAACCTTTCATTCCACTCATGGAAAAGCCATGAGCAGAAACACAGTTTCCTTGAATGTGTACATTATCTGGATGTTTTTGAATTTTTTACTCTGTGGATCATAAATACAGTATTCAAAATTCATGCTGTATTGCTTTATTGTGGTTGGTCAGATCTATCATGTGGCAGTTCCCTGATTGGAAGAGTTTGCAAGTACTTTCAGCATGAATATTTGTGTGAATTTAAAATTCAGTATCCATTAATATTTGCATATGCAACTTTGAAATTCACATTGCTTCTGTGCAAAGTTTATTCCAATAAAGCCTGATCATTCAAATGTTCATGGAAAACATCAAAAGAGAGCAGGCACGACCAAAACAAATTAATTTAGAAAGATGAACAAATATTTGCAAAAGTGTTGTGCATTATTTCCCAACTGTACTTTTGCCCTGTTTTCAACCACTACAGGTTACTTTATTATCCAGAATAATTATGATCAGAGAATTCACTTTCATATGCCAAACATCAAATCATGTCCCATGTATTTAAATTCAACTGCAAAGCTGCTGGTGCTACTGCTTTGTAGAAGATGCAGAATATTGGCCACAATACAAGAAAATGCTTATTTTCTATACTCGATACCTTTTAAAGCTAAGCTTTCAGTATATTTCTGGGAAGTGGAGGATTATAGCAATCTGATTTTTGCAGAATTGTGCTAGATACTAGTAATGCATGAAATAGTTAAACTCTGTGTGCAGGTTAGTGAATGAGTGGAATATGTATTGCCTGGAAAGAATCATTGTCATGGGTTTGTACCATTTGTATATGTTAGCTTAATATGCTACTGCAGCTACCCAGAGCTGTGAGCCACTGTGTTACCTCTCTGCCCTGGCAAGAGTGAGTTTTGTTTGTGATTAGACTGAGTATCAATTCCCTGCCGCCACTAGTCTGTCTTCCTCAAGGCTCACCCAGCCCAAACTGCGCTGAGCAGCTAACACTCCGTGAACTCCAGCATCAAACAAATAGCCCCTATCATTGGGTATTCAAAAAATATTACGTTCACTGCTCTGTTTAAGAGTCAGTACATCACAGCTTATTAATTTAACTGGGGTAAATACACTCTTCCCTTACATATCACTGAATTGGTTTATAGTAAAGTAAGTTTATTAACAAAAGAGCATGGATTCAGTGATACCAGATATTAGAGAAAAAAGTAGAGAAAACACATGTCTAAAAGTCTAAAATTTAGTCTAGCAAAATAGTCTTTGTTCAGGATGGTTTCTGTTACCCAGTCTCCCTTCCAGCTTTTTACTGGCCAGCCTGGCCAGGACCCATCACAGAGATCAGATCACTTGGTTTCTTTGTCTCCTAGGTGAAGGAAAAAGATGGAGTGTCTCTCTCTCTCTCTCTTTTGCTTATATCCCTAAAGGGATGTTTTTGCCTTACACAGGCTATGGCTACACTACGACGCATTTAGCAACACGGCTGTGCCACTACAGCCGTGCCGCTAAAAGCCATGCAGCGTAGCTGCTGTTTGTTGGCAGGGGTGGACAAACTTTTTGGCCCCAGGGCCACATCGGGGAATAGAAATTGTATGATGGGCCATGAATGCTCACAAAATTGGGGTTAGGGTGTGGGAGAGGGTGAGGGTTCTGGTTGGGGGTGTGGGCTCTGGGGTGGGGCTAGGGATGAGGAGTTTGGGTTGTAGAAGAGTGAGCTGTGCTGGGACCGAGGGGTTCAGAGGGCGGGAGGGGGATCAGGGCTGAGGCAGAGGTGCAGGTTCCAGCTGGGGGTGCGGGCTCTGGGGTGGGGCTGGGGATGAGGGGTCTGGGGTTCAGGAGGGTGCTCTGGGCTGGGATCGAGGGGTTTGGAGAGTGGGGGGGATCAAGGCTGGGGCATGGGGTTGGGGCGTGGGGAGAGGCTCAGGGGTGCAGGCTCCGAGTGGCGCTTACCTCAAGCGGCTCCCAGAAGCAGTGGCATGTCCCTTCTCCGGCTCCTACGCAGAGGCATGGCCAGGCAGCTCTGCGTGCTGCCCCATCCGCAGGCACTGCCCCTTCAGCTCGCATTGGAGCATGTAGGAGCTGGAGAAGGGCCATGCCTCAGCTTCTGGGAGCTATGTGGTGCGGCCCCCGACCGTGTGCCCTGGCCGGAATACCGGAGCAGGGCCGAGCCGCGTGGTGCAGCCGCCGACCCGCGTGGTGCGGCTCCTGACCTAGAATCCCGGCTGGAGTGGGGCCAAGCCCCAGATGCTGCTCCCCAGCAGGAGCTTGTGGGCCGGCTTAAAATGGCCTGCGGGCCGTAGTTTGCCCACCTCTGCTCTAACCCATCACCCATCTGCCCTACTTGGCACAATGAAAGTATATCTTGACTGGAAATACTGAAAAAAAGGATCTTTCCTAATGCAGAAAGGAAACTATGTTTAATGTTCAAAATAGATTACGACAATAATACTCCACTACCAGTATTAACAAGGTCCTAAACCATAGTGTAGCCCCACCCCCCATTCCTTTTCACACACCCCAATTTCTTCTGTTAAACTACTACTGTCCTTAAAATGTTCTGTAAATCTAAGTTAGAGATATCATTGCCAATAATGGATACATATAGACCAGCTGGGTAATATAAATCAAGGCATTATCTCACACCTACACTCATAATTAATTATCTTTTCATTGATCTTCCTTCTGTTCCAGTCTATTTCCCTTAAATGCCTCCATATGTTGTATGGCACAAAACAAAACATACTTTAACAACATCTTGATACATACAAGATTCTGCTTAGTTTGAGTTATGAAGTCTATGAAATTTAGCTCTCCCAAATCATGTCATTATAGACTCCACATTGTCTAAAGGAGTGTTATCAGTAAGATAGTACCTTATGCCCTTTGCACTTCAATGCAGTTTGAAGAGAGCATAGAGCTCTTTCTAACAGGTTTCTATCCTCACCATTAGTGAGTGAGTGAGTTTTCTTTGAGGCTGGAGTGCCTATAAAGAGTAAAGCTTCCAAACAGTGAGAGAAAATGTTCACTCTCTTCTTTTCCCATTGCTACCTACTCAGTATGATGCTGAATATTTGTAAAGATTCCAGAGAAAGCGAACAGCCCAAGTGCTGGAAATGTAAAAGTTATCAACCTGCCAAGTGTCCTGCTCTAGGTGTGATGCTCACTCACTGGATCCTATTCCCACACATTTCCTCTGTTTTATTGAAATTTCATACTCCAAACAAGAACTGAGCAGGATGTTCCCTCTTCTCAGGTGTCTGGGCCTGAGGTAGAGTCACAATCATAGGTAGTCTGTGTAGAAGAACCAGCTGGAAATGAAATGGTAGTCAGCAGTGGCTTAAGCAGTGGTGTGCAGCAGAATGGTGAGGGAAGGGAAATGCTGTGGGGGAAGAGGAAGGGCTTAGGGAGAAAGGAGACATGGGGGAAGCACAATGGAAGGACAAGGAACTGAGAGAGTACAGTAAATGGGGAAGTTAGACGAGAGAAGAAGGTGAATTGGGCAAATGGGAGACAATAGGGGAGGCAAACGAATGCACAAAATTTCCTAGGGAGGGATGGATCTTCCCTTTGGCCCCATAATCAAAGATTGATTTCACTCACTCCTCCTCTCAAGCAGCTCTTTGTAACTGGGTTGCTCTGGAAGTGCTTTCTGCACTAAGGAATCTGAAGAAATCTACATTACAAACAGGTTTTCATTTTCCTGTTGGATGAATTTTTCAGATCTCAAAGGGAAAACAATCATGTTTTAGTTTATGCTGCTGTGGAGTGGACACACAACTATAAATCATCTTCCAGCCAATTTAAAAGCAGCCTGGTAGACTGATACTTCATCAAAAAGTGAGGGTGTCTCTCTTTGGTATTAGTGATCCAGCATCACAACTTCTCGTTGCCTC